TGCGGACCCCGCACACAGGAAAATCAGTGGAAAAATTAATGGAACGTAAATAAGAGTAGTAAAATAACGAATTCTAAAATGCAAGTACAACCCAAAAGATAAACCGAACATATCGATCCCAGGAAACACCGTGAAAGAAACTTGAAACGCAAACCGTTCAGAGAGAGACCCCTACAAAGAAGGAACAGCAAACACGGTTGAGCAGCGCAGTCCTGCCAGTTTCCCGGTCACGCCTAAACCGGCGCCGGTTGCTCCCCTGAACCGGGACTCGGGGACCAAGAAATCACAGTCTCTGCCAAACCCGTGTTTGCTGCGCCTGAGATGGCTTTCACCGGAATTCCCGGACTCGGAGGCGATTGAAATCGGAAGCAAAGCTAAAGCGGAACCCGCGAGATCGAAAGCGGCTCCACCCAAGCGGCCTGGGGGGGGGGGCAGCCCCGCACCGCGGGGGGCGGGGAGGCCGCGGGCTGCGAGCGGGAAACCCCCTGGCCGGGCGCCCGCCGGCCCGGCTCCGGGAGAAGCTCCGTCTGAGAAATCGCCGGCCCGGCGCGGATCGCCGCCGCGACAGGGAAAACGGCCGCGACGCGGCGCGGACTGAGGCTTGAGCGGGCTCACAGCGAGACAGATCGGAGTTCCGGGAGTTAGAGTGAAGTAAAACGGAGTCCAGGCTGGAAAATCCTCCTCGGCGACAAAACCACTTAAGCCACGTAAGCAAAACGAAACTTCGCTTATTCAAAACGGAAGGGAAACCTAACAGATTATTTCTTGTAAATGATTTTGATATTCTTGGAAAATCATCCAGGACACTTAAGTCATCTTCCTTGAATGGTATTAGATAAACACTTTCAACCAACCCCCTGCTCTCTGGAAATCCCCCTGTAACAACCAATCATTGTGAAGGTTAAACAGCTTCCTCTTTTTCGCTTTATAAACCGTCCTGGACCGTCCAGCCTCGGAGCTTCATACTCGTTTTCGGTTTGAAGTCTCCCTCTCTGGGAACGCTTTGTTTCTCGCTCAATAAAAATGTTCCCATCAACTAAAGCTCTCGGAATTTTCTTTGAACAGTTATTGTCGTCAGAAGTGGGGTGGGCAGAAGGCCCCTGACGGCCCCTGAGGCTGGTGAGTATCTGTTGCTGGTACCCGGCTCGTGCTTTCTGGCTTCTCTTGGAGTTCCAGGGTAGATCTTGGATCCGAGCTCCACTCCCTTTGTGTTGAGCTCTCTGATTTTATTGAGACACCTTCGTTGAAGCTTCTTGGTAAGTCACCCTGTAACCCCAACTGAAGAGTCCCATCGTCCAGGTTCTTGGTCAGTGTAAGAGAGGAGTTCAGACACTGACACAGCAGCAACAGCAAGCAAGCAAACATTTATTAGACGGAAGGTTAGATACACTCCAAGTGAGGAGTGGGCAGTGCCAGAGAACGCATCTGCTCCGTGTTTTGGGTTAGTTTTATATATATATATATAGTGTGTGTGTGTGTGTGTGTGTGTGTGTGTGAGAGGAAGATCAGCCCTGAGCTAACATGCATGCCAATCCTCCTCCTTTTTGCTAAGGAAGACCGGCCCTGAGCTAACATCTATTGCCAATCTTCCTCCTTTTTTCCCCTTTTCTCCTCAAAGCCCCAGTGATAGTTGTATGTCGTAGTTGCACATCTTTCTAGTTGCTGTATGTGGGACGCAGCCTCAGCCAGGCCGGCCAAGCCATGTGTGTGGGTGCCCACCCGGATCCCAACCTGGGCCGCCAGTATGGGAGCGAGCGCACTTAACTGCTAAGCCACCAGCAGACCCCAGTTGTATTTTTATTTGGGCTGTTGAGAAGGGAATTAGCATTATCTGGTTATATGCCAAGAATGGTCTTTCCTCCACCCAAATCTTGGGAGGGGGAGTTCTTGACCTTCTAAGGGAATCTGGGGAACTGTCATGGCAGTCGTGCCCCTTGGACCTAGGCTAATGCATATGGGGTTTGTATGTAAATTAAAGAAAGGTCAATGTCCTCTAGAGGTGTATAGCAGAAGGCTTTGTATGTGTTGTTTGTGTACTGGTTATTTTTATTGTCATGGTCGAAGGGCTCAGACAGGCCGGTCTCAGTTCCCCTTTATCTGTATCTTGTTGGATGCCAGCAAGAGGCTTCACTGATGCAGCAAGGTCTCCAGCATGATCCCTGAGCTCATGTCTGGATGTCAGTAAGAAATACTCTCCACAGATGCAGCAAGGTCTCCAACTATGATCCCGCCCTCATGTCTACCTAACTACCTATGTCAACCCTATTCTGTTCAAAACGGTGGGGGCAGGGGGAACCCTGTGTGCTGGAACAGCTGTTGAAAAACAGGATTCCTCAGAGTTTAGAGTTCCTCCTGGTCCAAAATGGGAAGAAGGATTTTGTGCCTTTAGGGAAAATGGGTGAACTTTTGGATAATTTGGAATTGTAGCGGCCACTTTGGGGAAGCTTTAACATAAGAATGTTCACCTTAGGGGTGCCCTTGAAAAGAGAGGATCCCACAACCTCCTGGAGACAATAGAATGCATTCTTTGCTATGCAGAAGCTTCTAAAACACAAAATGACTCCAAAAATAGCTTCTCTAAAAGAATCCATATAGGGCACAAATAAAAAATATTTAGTGGGAAGCTTTAGCTATGTGAGCAGGTAAACTTAACTTATTTCATCTCCCAGAAACACAATTTGGATACAGCTATTCTTTTGAGTTTTGTATTATTGTACCTGACACATGGCTAAAATTTTTAAATGAAGGCTGTAATATCTCTGTTTGTGTGTTGATGTATATCTATCTATGTATATTATCTATATGTGATATTTTTAAAGAGCCCTATTTAATTGTCTTAAAGAAATGCTTAAGTAATTTAAGAATGTCCTAAACCTCAGAAACATAATAACACAAATGTTTCTCAAGTGCACATGATCTAGGATGATCTTTGATAAGTAAAGTTTAAAGTATTTTGTAATGAAAACAGGCATGTCTTCAGAGTCGTCAATGTTAAATATAATGCAAACATACAATTTTTTTCTACCTGGGTTTCCTAGTCAAACAAACTCATGCTATTTCTATCTTACAAAATCTGTCAGCAAGAAAAATAACTAAAGATGGTGGTCAGATGTTTAATGTCGAATCCATTACTATCTATTTAAATTAAATTACTTGTAATTCAAATAGAAGGTAAATTAAATAATGTTCATTGAATTAGATTAAAGTAAATTAAATAATATTCATTGAATATCTAGCTCATTTCCAAATAAGCTAGTATATGGCAACATTAATTGAAAAACATAAGTTTAAGTGTGTCTACTTTTGTCTTCTTAATTTTTTGTAGGGAGACAAAACAAATTTGGGTCTACTAGGAAAAAGGTATTTTTCCACACTGAAAAAACTATACTATGAAAAACATTTGTCCCTAACAATTATAAATTTTTATAATTTGTATCCATGTTTGCTAATCTACTAGAGGATGCTAATATATGAGAGAGAGTTCACAATTGCCTGCTTCTTAGTTTTCACTGGAAAGAAAAGGTTACTATTAGTTAACATTATGATCAATATGTAAAACTAAAACTAATAGAAACAATAAGCGAATGGAAACAACTTTGTTTTCAAAGTACGGAAGGAAAATGGGATGTGTTTTTATCTGAAGAGCATGAGAGGCATATCGTGTGTGTTTTAGTTAAAGAAAAAAGAGTGTAATTTTGTCCTCAAATAAAGTGGTTGTTTCCGAAAAAGAAAAGGTAAAAGGCAAAACCTAACTGGATATACAAATTGTAGAATGTTTCTGGGGGACTGGAGGGACGGGGGGGAGGAGGTGCTGGGGGTGGGGTGGCGGGGGAGAGGCGTGGATAAAAGCGATGCTAGGACCCAGAAGTGCAGATCTGGCCCGGAGAGCAGGCCCACAACTCCAGAATGGGCTATAGCACAAGTGCCAGGGCGGAGGAGATTGCGCTGCCAGGAGCGGGGCTGCCTCTGCAGCCCACGTGGCTTGGCGAAGGTAGTGGGGCAGCTCGCTCTCTTGGCGAAAACATCCGGGCTGAGACCGAGAATCACCCGGATCCAGGAAAGAAAGGAGAGCTGCGGCCACCGAAACACACATCGAGCCCGTCCGACAGCCGCCCGCTCCTTTCTGCCAGCGACCTTGTGGCCACTGGGGACCCGCCGCCGGTGCACTTATCCCAGCCGCGGCCGACGAGACGCTGCACCGAGCCCCTCACGCTGCTGGGTCCCAGCAGTGCGGGCAAGGGGCAAATAGCGGGGCCGCCCGAGAAAAGTCCGGCTCTGAGAAACAGCCGGTTTGGACGAATGAAAGGTTTTGACACGCAAAAACGCCGCCAGCTGGATGCAAATGTCTTCTCTGACAGTGATACCAGCGGCTCTGCGAACAAGGGAAAGTGCTAACCGGAACAGGGGCTCGGTGCAAGCCGCGGTGCTGGGACTGTGAGAAACCAGCGGTGCTAGGACCCAGTTAGCTACGGGAGAATGTAGGGGTTTGTTACTGAGAGCTGTGACACGACCCGCACTACTAACAAACTTGATGGGAAACCAGCGCTGTCGGTGCAGCTGAGCGCTGTTGCCACGGGAAATGACTGACGCAGAGCAGACAGCGGTGATCCCGGTGAGAAACCGCCGGCTCCAAACGGGAACAAGAAACAGGTTCAACAGAAGGATTGACACTTGCTCCGAAACACTTGCGAATAGACGGGGAAACCGCCTGCACGTGGCCCCATCGCAGATGCAACCCCCAAAACGCAGTCCCGGAGCGCTGGGAAGTACTGGGCTGGAGCAAGTGCCCACAGGAAGCAACTGGCTGTGCTGCCAGCGAGAAACATCCGGCTCGGCAAAACTAGCGGTACCGGCGTGGACAAACCACCATCTAGGCGAAAGAAACACACGTACTTTGATTTCCTGGGCTCATGAGCGAACAAAGAAGTTGCAAGTAAGAAGCGACCGGAACTTCAGGAGAAACTTGAGGCGCAAGAGAATCAAAACTTGACAACGAACACTGAAGGGACACCTTAATGCATCTTTATTCCGTAAGCGGACAGGTCTTGTAGCCCAGAATCGTTTCCTGGGGAAAGTTCCAAAAAGGCTCTCGCTGCATCTCAAGGCTCCTTAGAGCCAAAGACGGTCTGGCAGCAGCCACAGCTCACGGTGTGCACTGCGCGACCAATCCAGTCCAAGCAGCTTGAGAAAAGCCGGTGGTGGCTCCACCAAGCGGGGACGGGAGGTCGGCGGCGATCTGAAGGGTGCCCGCTGTCGGAGGTCTCGCTGTCCTGCTGTCTGTCGCCGGCGTCTTGCAGCCTGTCCCAGGGAAGCTGCTGGAACGCGAGTCCGTCGGGTTCCTCTGCTGGGTCCAAGTCTACCACGATTGCCTCTGGCTGCTTCTGTGTCTCTGGCCAGAAGCCCCGAGTGGGCGGGGCTGGGCTTGGTTCCAAGGTGCTCTGGGCTCGGGGCAACGGTCCATTTCGCCTGTAGACCAAGCGCAGCCGCCAGCAAGGACTAGAAAGCAGTTCTCCATGGAAATCATCGCCGTGGCACGAGGACTCTTCCGGTGTGGGGTCCAGTATGTGGTAGAAAGAGAGCGGCCACCGTTCAGAATCGTCGCAGCTGCGGATACACGGAGGCTGGGGCTCTGGCGCCCCCTCTACGGAATCCCGAGCCTCCTGCACACCGAGAAAATGCTGCTCCATCGCGGAGACCTCGGACCAGGAGGACACAGGCGTTTGCGCTGGACCAGGAGGCAAAGCCTCAGCAGTACCAGCAGCCCGGGTATTTATGCTCTCCAGGACTCGGGGGCGGAGGGAAGCCAGCGACCGCAAAACGGAGTGATAACACATTCGAGACAGCAGTAGACAGAATGAAATACGAAAACTTGCTAGAGAGCATAGAGAACCGACACAAACCATTCCGATATAAAAACGTCGAGACGACAACAAACCGCAACGAAGCGGCACGGTAAGCAAAACGTACAGAGAACCAGCCCTACAAAGCGCAGGGAGCGGCGAGCGGTGCAGAGAGCGCGAAACCAAACGTGACCTCGGTGAACAAAACGCTGCAGCCTCTGGCCGCTAGGGGGCCGCGCTGCTGGCCACGGTGCCGAAGACAAACCGGAGAAATAGTGGCGCTGGCATGAGGCAACGCTGGGCTTGGAGCCAACAGTGGTGCTGCGCCAAAGACAAATACCGGTTCTGGAGCGATCAGCTGTGCTGCCGAAGAGAAAGTGCAGGATCTGAGAACAGAGAGGCCAGCGACGGAAAAACATCCGACTTGAAGGGAAGACCCGTGCCGCCGCGGAGAAAATACGATCGCCCTCAGAAAGAAGCAGCGCGATAAAACGCTACTATGGGTATGTCAATCGTTTATTTTTTACCAAAAATATAGTTAATAAAATTAAAACATTAAAGATAACAAAATTAATAACAACTTAAAATCTATAATAAAATAATAAAAAACTTAAAATTTAAAATGAAGAAAATGTATTTTACTATTTATGGTATAAAATATTTTCTGTTTAATTTTGTTTTTAATTTAAAACTTTAAATTTTAATTATTGTTATTTTTATTATTTATTTTATATTCAAATGTTTAGTATTTATTTTGAATTTTCTCTTATATTTTAATTCTAAATTAAAAATAATTTACTTTTAAAACATTTTAAACTTTATAAAATGTTTTTTATTTTTGTTTTATTTTACTTCATTTTTATTCCTTTTATTCATTACACATTTTTGTTATATTATTTTTAATTTTTTAACTTTAAACAATTTCTATATTAATTTTGTTTTATTTTCCTTTCTATTCTATTTATTTTAAAATTTTTACATGTTCATTTTTTGAAATTTTAGTGTGACATTTTAAAAATTTTTTCTTTAAATTTTTAACTTATTTAATATCTTTTATTTTATTTTTAAGGTTATTATTTTTATGTTATTCTTTGTTTAAAACTTTTACAGTATTGTTTCTTTTTTTACTATTTATTTTATTCCTTCTTTTAAGTTTTCCAATTTTGTAA